ACACAAGAGATCAAAGGAAAGAAGCAATTAGCTATTTACCATACAGGTATCAAACATTTCCACTTGCATAACATTTCCAAACCTCAAAAATGTAGCTAACTCCTTTCCTTCTACATGAGAGCCCCTAAGAATAGTTGAAATAAAGCAGTATTCTGAAACTCGGAGATAGCAGTTTAACAACACTGCCAGATACTGAACTTGACAAATAACTTCAAAGAAATAATAACTGTTGGAACAGATTATCATGACCACCATAAATTAACACTAAGTCTCCTTAATGTACTGAACAGCTATTCATTACATGGAAATGACATGGTGCCTGACCTTGGGGAACTAGCCTCAGACAATGTCTTTGAAGTCATTTCATTCTTGTTCTTACTTCAAGTATCTTAGACATGTGTCTTTATATAGTCCCCTTGAGGGTAGGGACCATATCTGAATTACTCCATGTGTTTCTGAATGCAGAGAACTCTGAAGACTGAAAGATGGATCTTATGGGGGGAAATCATCGTGTTCAAATTTTATAAAAGATATGTTGTTTCTCCTGTACTGCTTTGCTATCATAAAAAGATTACATGAATTCTTGCTAACTGCAAATGTTTAAATAAGTGTATAGAATAAAACTAGGGAGCACCTGTCTTTACATTACCAATACCTCCTAGTTCTCACTCTCTGCACCAGGGGCTCTATTCTCATTTTGACACACAACACACACACACATTTTAAATGCATGCACTTGATTTTAATCCTATGTGATTAAAACTACTAAGTCATTAACATTTTTGATCAATGGATATGTACAACTTGGGTTTTATTTAGGACTACTTCATTCCATCAATAACAGTTTTAGGGCACAGTAGCGGTTTTTAAAATGCATTTTAATGTGACTTTGAACATTCTTATTTTTCTGTTTTGAATTCTGTGTATATTTGGTATATCCAGTTTACAAAGGTAATCCATGCTAGGTTGATGTAGACTAAGTTGACATTGGTGAATGAATGTCTGGTATTGGTAGTCTGTATCACTGCCCCTTCCTCAATTTTTTTATTTTTGCCTTGACCATTTTCCTACATTTATTCTTTGAGGTGTATTTTAGTTTCTTTACCATTTCCCCATCCTGCTGTGACTACAATTAAAATAGCAGCTTCATTAATTTGGAAGGAGCCAGCATGTATGTTCCCATTGTTCTTGCTGTCATCGATGTCTTCGTCATCTGCACCCCATAGGTCATGGCGCCACTAGTAAAGTTGCCTCTGTATCATGAATGTTTAATTACTGATAAAATATAGAAAAACTGTATAACTTTTACATATTAATTTTATTATAGCTCATTATTTTCAAGTAGATTCCTTAGGGTTTTCAGAATAGCAAACATATAGCTAAAAATAATTTTTGGATACTTTCTAATAATAAAGCTTCTCATTTACGGAAACTTGTATTATGAAATAAACTAGTAAAAAAATTTAATGCTCCTTGGATTCAAATTTATAATAACACTTTAGGATGATTTTTTACATGCATATTTTGACAGGTCAAAAATTAAAATAATTCTTTCTCTGTACATGGGTCAGCATTCAGGATTTAGTGCCATGCTGATAACGACTTAAGAAAGTTATCAAGGGCCCTCCCTGGTTGGCACAATGGGTTAAATTGCAGCACTATGAAGCTATCCACAGCTGCTGCAGCATGAGTTCGATCCCCAGCCTGGGAGCTGACCCACATGGTGCAGCAGACCTCTCTTGACTTTCCCACTGCTCCCTTCAGCAGTAGATTTCAGTAGTTCTATTCCCCACTCTGTCTCTGATGAATCCTCTCAACACTCCCCCTTCATTCTGGCCTGTACTAGTAGTAGAGCACTTGTATGCATCAATAAAATAATTCTAAAAGGAAAGAATTAAGAAAGTTAGCACCTTTGTATACTTCTTGCACAATAGTTTTCAAAGGAAGCCAACAGAAATAAGTGTGGTTGGTTCAGTCCCTTGCAGGGGTCAGTAGGAGTTGTATGCACTATCCTGATCCGTCTCGGGGGCACTGGCACTGTAGTGGGCATTAGACTGGCCCTCGGAAACCAGGGGAAATTATCATCTCACCTTCCTTGTTTGCAGATCACCTACTGATTTAGAAATAGAAATAGAGGGCCTTCCCTGATGGCGCAGGGGGTTAACACACAGCACTAAGAAGCTAAAGCCACTTCAGCATGAGTTCAATCCCCAGACAAGGAGGTGACCCACATGGCGTGGCAGACCTCTCCTGACCCGCCCACTGCTCCCCTCAGCAGTGTATTCAACGTTCTGCCTGTTCTGCTCCGCATTCTGTCTCTGGTGAATACTCTCACCACCCCTGCATCTCTGGCCTGTACCCCAGTTCTGTATGCACAAATAAATAAATCTTTAAAAAAATATAGAAATAGAAATACACTAGCAGCCGGCCCCTTGTTATCTGCCCCTGCTCCAAAGGGCAACTATGTATTTTAGTAAATACTTTGACAACTTATATCTCCCTTTGATGATTTTCAACGATTTTATTCAAAATCTTTGTCTGCAGCTACACTAAACTAGCATTATCCATTATTTGGAATGCAGCATTAAATACAACCCTGAAATCACACAAGACATTAAAACCCCTTTTTAAAGAACTACAACCTATAGCATTTGGGATGGACCTTTTTCTAATTTATACATAGAGAGTAAGCAGCTCATCAGGTGATTGCAAATGCTGAAACTTAAGACACAATTATAGAAACAAAATTAACCTTATTTTGGCTTCGGAAAACTGCAATAATATTTTTTTCAGAGTTGGATGTAATATTTGTTTTCTTAAACAAACTTCCTTTGAGCACTTACCAATCTTGTGATTGGTGAGTACAAATCTCCAAAAACTGAAACAAAAGCTTCCAGGGGAAAGTGGGTGCACCTCCCCAACCTGCCGTATTTAGACTTATAGCAGAATCAGACAGCGGTAGGAGAGATGTTCATAACAGAAATTCACAGCCGTGGGATCTGGAATATTAATCAGCGGTTAACAGCAAACTGAGCTCTCACTGGAGATCCATAGGGCTTCTGGAACACACCCACTGCTTCCACTGGACGCCTTAAAAATAACTTCATCTGAACTTAGGCAGAAAAAGGCAAACCTCCCATTGCTACAGGAAAATATTTTTTGTAGGTTAGTGGGGTAAAATTGGTTTTTAAAAATGCTGTCACTCTTTGTTCTTTAAAATGAGAATAGCTTCAACAATTTTGGGTTGACAAAATAATAAGCAATCATTATATTCACATTTAAAAGTCAAGAACAGAAATTACAAAGGATACATTTTAAATGACCTACAATTCTTCTACCGAAAGGTCACTACTATTCACATTTTGGTGTAAATCTTTACAAAATTTCTACTTTAAATCAATTAAAATGGTTCATGTAGCATGGCTAAAAAAAACTCATATTCAAAATTTGTGATTTTAAGATATTTAATTTGGAAAAAAAAAAAAAAAAAAAAAAAAAGATATTTAATTTGGGGGGCCTCCTTGGTGGTACAGGGATTAAAGACACAGAGCTGGCAAGCTATCACCAGCCACAGCAGCACAAGTTCAATCCCTAGCCACAGAGCTGACCCACAGGGCACAGCAGACCTCTCCTGTCTCATCTGCTGTTCTCCTCAGCAGTGTGTTTCAGTAGATCTGCCTGTTCTGTTCCCCACTCTGCTGAATCCTCTCACCCCCTACACCCCAGTTTCTTATGTGCATAAGTAAACAAATCTTTTTTTTAGAAAAATATTTCATTTTTTAAAATTGAAGGGGCATTATCTTATATGGAGTAATATATATGTGTGTACACACACACACACACACACACACACACATATATATATCCCTTAAAACTCTCAAAAGAATTAAAAAAAAATCCATGGGCACTTAAGCTGCCTTCTTAAGTCATCAACTATAAATAGTTCAAGTGTTTCCAGGATGACTGAGAATGTCTTACAAATGCAATAATATAATAGAGTTAATGCCTTGTTACTTTATTGTAATTACACCCAAAAAATCTTTGCCCGTGTTTAGTTTGTTCCCTATTTCCAGTCATTCCCCCAATCTCTGTCTCTACCTCATTCCCTCTGACCCTTGGTGTTTACAGCGCATTATGTTAACAGTGATTAAAACTGACAATAGGATTTACCAGGGAAATGCTTTATAAACTGTACAAATGGAGGTGAATGGGACGACACAAAACAGAAACAGTAAATATGGCCTCCTTGTTTGTCTGTGTGTGTATATTCACAATATAGCTGTATGAAAACACAGAGACTCTAGTAATGTTTTCCCCTGGGGAAGAAATTTAGTGGAATGTGAGACAGAGATGGAAAGAAAATTTTTATGATATACTCTCTATATAATTATTATACTTTATAATACTTATGCCTATTCAAGTAAATTTAAGAAAAAATCTACCTAGTGACATACTCAACTGTATGAAGTTATTAGCTTAAAAGACTTTAAACTGCTCCTTCAGATTCCAGGATTTACTAAGTGCCCAGAGAGATGAACTTCCAACTATAACAGTGGCAGCTTATGGATGCACAATGGAAAATGATTTCTCCTTTTCTTTGAAAATAATTGTGGTTCTAGAAACTGGTACCATGTTTGAATCAATGATTCAGCAAAAGTACATCCATGACTCTATATGTTAGCATTTGGCCAACACACACACACACACACACAGTAGTGTGGTAGTGAACCCATTGCAACTGTTCCTTAGCTGCATTGGTGACAGTGTCCTAAGAGTTAAAAAAAAAAAAAAAAGCAGAAATTCTAATTTCAACCTTGCTCCTTTTTGAATGATAAGTTATTCTGCTTCTAGTTAATCTGCTTCTAGTTAATATGCCTGCCTTTTGGGTAATAATTTGGGAGATACAGATGCTATTTAAGTGTGTGAACGAGGTACACTGCTTGGTGCAGGCCTTGAATGTCATTGATTTTGTCTCCTTTTTTTTTGCTCTTCATTTGCAGGTAGTGAAATCAAAGCTTGACAAAGAATTTCACTCTATTAAAATGAAACTATCAAGAAATCATATTGTGGGAAAATATTTCAGCAATCAAAGCAAACGACAACAAGACTCCATAACAAATTCTCAGTCACCCTATAACGTCAGAGGGCCAATCAATCAGGTTTACTCTGAGATTCTCCTCAGCAGGATGTGTGCACGTGGAAGATCTGCATAGACCCCTTGCAAGAGGATCGAAGGTGGATGGAAGTCAAACCGCTTACCTGGATGCTGGTCTAGCAATCAAATTCTTGCATCTCGTGTCTTGTGGAGCAGCCACAGAGACTCGGACACACAGCACACGCATATGCACCAACAAGCACTCACATGGCTTAAAGAACATTCACGTAACACCTTTTCCCTCCAGCTTGATGAAATGAAGATGTGCACATGAAAACCATTTGGTTTCAAGGTGAAAGAGTTAGAAAAATGTTACTTGAAGTATCATCATAAACTCCCATAGAACCACTGTGGGCCAGGCGTTGCATTGTGACAACAGAAAGAAATGCGGACACCTGAGTTTTGTGGAAGAAAGAGAATGTTCTAGAATGTTCTTTTCTCCAGCAGTGCATGATTGCTGAATAGGAGAAAAGCAGCCACATTCCGCTGGCCCTGAGTGTTGTTTGTGTCTTTCACAGCTAGGGTAGTGTGCGTGATAGTGTAAGATGTGGACCTAGCATTTATGACAAACGGTTTTCCTATATTTTTATAATAGGATAATTAAAAGGAAAAGAGCAGGAATGCTCCATAAGGGAATTTAAAGAGACTGTATGAGAGAGATAGACATGTGCTATTTTACAGTTAAAATGCCAAGATATTTAATTTGCACTCTTCGTACTTTTCCTAAACATTCCCTCCTATCCGCTCTGTGATGTTGGATGGGTAGACGCAGTCTAAACTGATTAAATACATAATTATAAACTGAGGAGCAAAATGTCATTCCTCATGCCTTACTTTATTATGCTTCATTGATGGTATAACTTCAGAAGGCTTTTGTTGCCTTTAAGCCCTAGGTATTTTAAGATTACAGTTACATTTTAAGTAAATATTTTGCAACGGATTAGGTATTATCAAGTTCATAGTATATTTTTCCATTAAAATATATATACATATCCATAAATACTATTTTACTAGTAACCCTATTTTGATTTTTCTGGACAACTCTAATATAAATTTAGAGTAGCCATAAAATTATCTTTTATTAAAATTTTGGTATACACATAAAGCATGTCAAATTCCAGTATTAAGAACTTTCTCTCTTCTATTTTCAGATCAAAATAATAAATCTCCTTATTTGGCAAATGCTTTGTTGTGACCTATCCCACAGCTACAATGGTTTTTAAACGCTTATTTTTCCTTTGGGGGGGGGGAAATAAGCTGAGAAGGTTAGTTCAATACATGGCTGAAATTACCAAATGTAAAAATACCTCAATCTCATTATCATGCAAAAATGAAAATTATTTTGATTGATCAGTTCCTTAGTATAAATACCCACCTCCTTAAATATTCTATTTTTATATATATTTTTATATGAAAATAAACATGAATTTATATTTAAATGTCTTAAATTATATTTAAACACAAATATCAATAGCTATAACAACACATGTCTGCCTCTGACAGATGGTAGATTTCTTAGGAGAATGGTACAGAATTCTTTTAACATGAACGATTTTTCTACTAACAGCAGCTATTTGGGAAGTATCAGTTTTAGAGTTTCAGTGATTTTTGTCAATGACATAAAATGTCAGTTCATGCAACATCTCTGGCGTCTGGATGGATTAAGTGCTTGCTAACAGGATGAAGATCAATGTGTGTTTCTTGTCATTTCCTGTCAACCCAACAGTAATAGCAGTATGACTGAGTTTCATGTGGCATTTCTTCTTCACTGGTGAAATAGTAATGGATTTTAGAAACAACTGTAAAAATGCTATTAATAAAAGCCTTACTAGCAATTGTCCATGTTCAGGGAGTTTTTCTTCTCCTTTTTGCTGAAAGTATATGACCTTACATGCGGTGACCATGGCAGGGATGCTACCATGCAAGTATTGGAGTGTGGCTTAATAAGATAACTAACTCTACAGTTGCTTCCAATCCTGATAGTCTCTAAATTTTTATCAGATAAACTACCTGCTGTGCAATGGCCAAAGCTTTGGAACACAGTGACAAACTATTTTTTATAGGAAGTCTCTGAAATGCTGGGAATCATTTTAATACCTCTGTAATGGAAAGATGATATTTCACCCTGGGGAATGTATGTGTGTGGATGTGTGTTTGAAGGTGCAGTGTGCTCTTTGTTAGTCATCCAAATAGTCAAATAAGACCTTGTTGGGACATAGGAATAGACAGTTTCTCACTGCCTGCTGGCTGGCCGTCACTTGGATCACTTAATCTTCCTCGCTAGTTGTTCCTGTACCCAGGAGTCAACTCGACAGAACAATGACTCCTGTTTACAAATCAACAGAAGAAATAACTGATTTTTGAGCTGGAAATAGTTCTGGTAATGTTTACGGAGGAAATAATGCTGCTTGCAGCTTCTTTTAGTTCCATTTCATCGCTGGATTCTGAGAACAGCTCTATAGCTGGTCAAAATTTATGTAACCCAATAAGAGGAATTTCAAAACTGTCTGGGAGGGACTCAGTGGTGTCTATTCTAACATTTTGACTGGATCAAGAACAAATCATACCGCAAACACTACTGTAGTGTCTTTTTAATGTGGACTTAAAGTTCAAATGACTTTGATGTCTCTTGGAAACAGACATTTTGACCGAGAACTTTGACTTAAGGGGGGTGGGTGGGCAGAGGTTGTCAGAAATGCTAGAGACTCGTTAAAGTTAGCAGAGCTCCACCAGTGGCTACAGATTCCATTTTGTGCTTGGCCCACCTTCAAGGTTTCTCATTGTGAAAGACCCTCTTATCTTTTTTTTTTTTATTGCCACAGTATTTCTTTCATGAAAAGTCCACTTTGTGTAAAATTCATTTTTTTTCTTTCTGATATATATTTTCCTTCTAAAAAGGCACTTGATTTACTTTCCTTATGTTCCCTGAAATATAAAGAACTTGCCTGGCAACTCTCTTCAATGTCAGATTGCAATGCATTATCACACTTCATGCACAATTGACACACTAATCTTTAAATGTATCAAGAATATATACAATTTGGGGCCCCCCTAGTGGCTCAAAGGGCCAGATCTCAGCACTATGAAGCTACTGGCAGCCACTGCAGCCTGAATTCCATCCCCTGCCCCGGAGCTGACCCACATGGCACAGCAGACCTCTCCTGACCCACTCGCTGCTCCCCTCAGCAGTGTATTTCAGTAAGCCTGAAATACCTTCCTGTCCTAACATATAAGTCACTTTGGAATATCTCATTCTTAAGAAGAAAGAAATAAGCATTTTCAAATGTTACCAAACCAAATATTAAAAGCTAGATTAATTTGATAAGAGTTGAATGTGAATGTAGTGATACCCGTCTTATATACAATGAGGAAAAATAGAAAATGTCTTCTGAGCATCCACTTAGTCTATCTTCTCAAAAATATGAAATAGCAGCCCATCTACATTTAATTATTTTTCTTCTCAGTATCATTCACCTTCTGTGATATTTCCTGCTTGTCCATAATTTTGCCTTCAAACTGGAATGTTTGCAGCATTTTCTGTATGCATTTTATAGGTAATACAAGGTCCTTTTAAAAACTCCCATTTCTACATTCTCCTCCTTGCCTTAATTATGTATAGCATGAAGCTTATGTTTTCATGGGCATGAGTTCTCCAGTTTTACAGTATCGTAAAAAAGTTTATGAGCCTTTTGTTAAAAATCAGTGCCTATGTCATTGGCAGGGCATGAAATTATTTGCAGCTACTTCTTCTACTTACAAGATAAAATTTGGTCTGAATTAAGAACCGTGCAGGGGGAACTTGAACTAATACCATTGTTGCCTAAAATGAGTTTAGTCATCAAATGGCACAGACGTGGGCTCATCAGTTTCTACCACATGTGTGTACCCCTGGGGAAAACCTGCTCTCTGTTCCTACTTGTCTTGAAAGAGTCCCCATTTCGGTGTTCACGTTAGCTATGCAAAATCAATGGTATGTTTTTAAAAGGGTGTGGATGCAATCCTTAGCTCAGTGATTCCTGCCAAGAACAGGAATCATTTCAGTAGGATGGAGTTTCCAGGGCCAGGTATTGGTAAACACCCGGAACTGTCTCTTGGCCACCTATTCTCAGAATAAATTGATACCTTGCATGAATTATTTATGGATTCAGAGATGAGGCTGATAAAGACTTTACTTCTCAGCTTTCTATTTCCCAGAAGAGTAGGCACTCTCAAGGGGGTAACTGGCCAAAGTGGTGTTTTTCTCTGTTTCCTGGGGTCAACAGAAGTCTTTGAGGTACAGAGTGTTGATAAGTCGATTTCTCTTCCTGTAGAAGCCTCCCTGGGCACCAGCTTCGATAATTGTTACCAAATACAGTGAAAATAGCTGACTTGTTCTCTACCATCTTCAGACATGACCGCCAAAATGGCGGAGCCAAATTCCAACCTCCCCTGGTTTGTGTCTCAGCAGAGTCTGTGTTAAATAAAGGGGCTCGAAAACAGGAATTGTGGATTATTTTAAATAAAACTCAGGCAGAATAAACACACCTACATACAGAGGTGGGTAAGTAAGTGTCTGTGCACGTACACATGTGTACAATGAAATAGATAATAAAATGCCAAATAATCACATGCACCACTATACTTGTTTCTTTAAACCATCCCTCTTATGTTTGATTTATTGCAGCATGTAAACCTTTTAAAACAGTTTATCTCTGGAGACCTCCGCCAGGTGCTCGTCTGGACAGGTGGGGAATGTGGTTGGAAGTGCCAAGCAGCGCTGGGAAGGGTGTGCCAAGGAGGTGGCAGACAGATGCTTCTCTGAAGAGGTGACAAGTGGCCCGATTGCCAGAAATCACCAGAATGAGAAGCTAGAAAAAGGTTAGCTGCAGATTCACGAGGACCCCCCCTCCCCCCCGCCTCACCACCGCCATTATTAAACCTATAAAGAGACTCCGGGGAAGAAAGGATTGATGAGAATAAGTGGATCAACAGGGTTCTCTAGGCCTGTGAGAATTGTGATCCTGTCATGTGCCCTGACTCTTTTTCCTCCTCTCCACCTCTCCGCTTTCCCTAGGGGCATTGGCCAGAGCTGACATGGAGGAAGAGGGAGGCTAACCTGGTCCCTAAGCTGGGATGGAGACACAGGTGGATAGGAGGCAGCTGGCATTAGTTCAGCTCTACAGCCCCTGAGGTTAAAACAACCGCCTCCCCCCAAGTTGAAAGTTTATTCTAGAAGCCACCACCTGCTTGACTGGATTTATTCCCCCTTTTAGTGCCATCCTCTGTCTGGGGGGCCCCTCTCTATCACCATACCATCATGTTCCCTAATTGTTATCTGTGTTTACCTATTTATGTCCTACTGCACCAATCTCAGCCCTCTAAAGCTGGGCTGGACTCCAATTCATCTTCCACATTCCAGAGTCTCATAGAAAGTCATTGCTCCGCAAGTATTTTTCTCCCATGTTCTTTTCTCTATACTTCTCAACTAGATGTCACGTCCTCTATGAATATTTTCCTGAGTCCCCAAATCCCAGCATCATTTCTTGGTGCCCCTAGCATGCTCTGCTTTCCCCATCCCAACATTTATCATTCTCTGATTAATAATTGGTGCCTCTGAATGTCAACTGCATAAGGAAAGAACTGAGGTTTTTATTTGCTTGTCTGTGTTTATTTATAATTTATTTTAAGCTGTTTTGTTGAAATACAGTTCACGGGTTCTCCCTGGTGGTGCAATGGGTTAGGACACAGCACTGCAAGCTAGAACAGCCACTTCAGTGCCAGTTCTATCTGGGCCCGATGGTGACCCACATGGCGCAGCAGACCTCTCCTGTCTCGCCGGCTGCTCCCCTCAGCAGTGTACTTCGTCCATCTGCCTGTTCTGCTCCCTGCTCTGTCTCTGCTGAATTCTCTCACTGCCCATGCACCTCTAGCCTGTACCCCAGTTCTGTATGCATAAATAAATAAATATTTAGAAAGAAAGAAAA